CATCAGATGCTGATAAGTTGCTGTTAGTAAAAAAATTCAATTCTTTGCGCACTAATTTTAGAAAAGAATTACATCGTATAAGGGACTCTGAAAAAAGTGGCGCAGGACAGACGATGTAATTCAACCAACATTATGGTACTTTAGCAAAATGCAGTTTCTAGTGAATCAGGATGAACCTAGTGCATCACAAAGTACTATACAGGAAGGGGATAATGATAAGGAAGAAGCAGATAATAATATAAACGATGTGGACAGTGATAATTCAAATACTATTTCAACAATCAGTGTAAGTATATAAAGTTTAATAATTCAAGTTTACATTTTAAGCAAATTTATGTTGCCATGAAACCTGTCCCTCGTTATTAAAAAAATCACAATAATTATCTCTGACACTTTTTGCTACAGTGGCTGAATTTCTGGCATGAGTTGTACAAAGCGATGTTGATTGTCTAGTTGTTCTCCAAGTTCCTTCAACAATATTTCCTGATGCGAAATCTTCTGCATCCACAGAAGTATTGTACATGTATGACTGAGGCTGGTTTCTTCTTAAATAATTGTGTAAATAGCAACATGATAGGACGATGATTTGAGCTTTCTCAGGCGATAGTGCAATAGGTCGTTGAAATACACCGAATTTTGATACTAATATTCCAAATGCATTTTCCACAATGCGACGGGCACGACTAAGTCGATAATTAAAAATTCTTTTTTCCATCGTTAATCCTGTTTGGCTGTAAGGTTTCATGAAATTTTCTGTCAGTGCAAAAGCGTCATCTCCAACAAAGACAAAGGGTAGTATTCTTTGACTATTATCTGATAATGCTTTTCCAAATGCAGTATAATTCAAAACACCTCCGTCTGATATTCGTCCATTTATTCCTGCATCTACCATAATTGATTTTTTTTTAGACAATTAGGAAAATTCCATTGAAAATCGAATCCATTGACAATAGCTTTCCATTCAGCTTCTGTTGTTGGCAACTACAATTACAAGTTAAATTGATAATATACAAACTTATTACGACTATACAAAAATTTAATATATGTTTTTTCTTTACAGCAGCGCACAAAGGAGGGACCACCAAAAAAGAAGGCAAGAAAACTTGATGAGTCCAAACAATTAATAGCTTTAGCCCGTAAACACCTTGAACAACCACCAAATGATTATGAAAAAATTGCTTCTGCTTGGGCAGTAGAACTTGAAAAATTGACGCCTCAGCAACAAATTTTTGCGAAAAATGCCATTAACGACATACTATTTGAAGGTCAAATGGGAACACTGCATAGAAATTCTGTGCAAATTAATACTTTTTCTCCTTCATCTACTCCATATAGTAATGTACAACCAAGTCCTGTCTATTTTGACAGTGCGCAACCTCAACTGCTAATCGAACAACAGACTATGAACAAGTTACAGTCCCCTACTGTTTGTAATTATTTTTCAACTTTTCAGTAAAAATATAAAATGTATCTACAGTAAACTGAGATATTTAAAATAAACTTTGTTTTGTGTTTTAAATAATCTTATTTACCTTTATGCAATCCTTCAGGCATTTTATTATGGCTTGGCAAGTTTCAATTACAATTATTATTCCTATGGATTGTGGTGACACAGCACTTGTGAATTTTAAATCCTCAAAGGTGTTTCCAGTAGCTAGGTAACGTAATGTTATTGATAAACGCTGACTTGGTGAGATAGCATCTCGCATAACAGTATTCTTTTTTTGAATTTCAGGTATAACCATTTTTAATAATTCATCAAAAAATATACTATCTAGTCGCAGAAAGTTTTGAACATCACTTGGTTCGCTAATTCTTAACTCATTTAATAAATTTTTATGAGTGTACTTATTTCTTTTTTTGAACCATTCTTTCATCCACCTGCGTTTATTTTTTTTGTCCGTTGTGAAGCTACAACTAATGCGATAGTCACACAACTCGCTGTTTTTTTATTCGACATGTTGATAGTACAAGTTTCAGTCGGGAACTAATTTATTGTGCAATAATATTGATTCGTCTGTGCTTCCCTACTAAATTATTGTGCAATATATGGTACAATAATATTGACGCTAATATTGACTGTCTAGGGGCTGCTTAAGTCGGCGTGCGATCTAATTCGCGTATTTCATTTCTTTGTAAGTAATAATAAATTTTTTTCTTTTACATACGTTCGCCGGGGAATTCACTCTCGCAGGATCCAGACGGGGACAAAGAAGACATTTTATTTTTTGTATATACGTTAAAATTAATAGATTTATTTTTATTTCAACCTGTGTTTTACTGAGTCTGTCGCCTCGAAAGAGCTTCCCGTCACAAGATGAAATAGAAGATGTAGATCAAGCCAATTATGGCATAACGAAGGCTCCAAAGGAAACGGGAAGGGAGTGCTGCCCGACCGTTCTGGCTCATAAAGAAAAACTAAGCCAAAATACCAAAGAGCTAACAGGCAAAAGAAAACAACTGTTGAAAAAATATTGTCCCAACTACACAACAATGAAGAAACTAAATAAAGATATCCACCGATTAATCCAAAAAGACGTAAGAGAAAACAATACAAGAGAAATAACTAAAATAATTCAAGAAAACAAAAGTTTTACTGTATGATCAACTTTTAGAAAACGTTGAGGAAATTAAATTTCTAGGTATGATTTTTGATTAAAAACTTACTTGGAACAATCACATCCAATTACTTAAAAAATCATGTTTACAGAAGATAAAAAATATTCTTAAAGTACTAGCAAATCATAACTGGGGCGCAGATACAACACAGCTACTAACTATTTATAAATCCTTATTCTGCAGTAAATTAGATTATGGATCAATTGTATATAATTCATCTAACGACTTAACATTAAAAAAATTAGATATTGTACAAAATACTGCACTAAGACTAGCTCTAGGAGCCTATAGAACCAGTCCAGTTGGAAGTCTTTATGTTGAAGTAAATGAATCTCCACTTTCTGTTAGAAGATTACGTCTCAGTTTATAATACCCAGGCAAGTTATCCACTAATCTAAACAACCCAGCCTACCCATATGCTTTCACTACATATTACAATTCTAATTACAGTCAAAATCCTAATCTTCGATCATTATTTAGCAAAAGAATTAGCAACTTCACATTTCCGGGTATTATGCATACCAATATTAATTATGCTCTCCCTTGGACTATACAGATTCCATATTGTAACACAGATCTGTCAACTTATACTAAGGACAATACCCTTCATCTCTTTTTCTCTACTACTTCTACAATATTAAAAATAAATATTCATCCTGTCAACTAGTTTATACCGATGCATCAAAAACACCCGAATTGGAAACAGTAGGATCCGCCACTGTCACAGAGGATTCTGTGCTCAAGTTTCCACTACCTAAGAACTACTCAATATATTCCGACTGAACTTTTTGCGATATCCAAAGCAGTACAACAAACTCTTAATCGACCTGAAGACATGACAGTAATATTCACAGATTTCTTAAGTGCAATCCAGCAATGTCAGTCTATAAAAGCAAGGAACTTATTAAATGTAATTTAATCGCCATTCCGAAAATCATAAAACAACTCATCATAAACCAACTTATTTCTATTTGTTTCATTCATATCGAGGTTTAAGGAACATTAATAATACACATGATGGACGCTAGGATCTACACGGAGATCACTTGCTTTATTGGGAATATTAATATGTTGACATAATTTAAAAAAAGGCTTAAGCAATATTCACAGTTGAATCACCTGCACAACAATGCACCATTACACCAAACTTATCAGTCTCCCAAAATACATTGGGAAGATTGTAATCACCAAAAACATATATATCCTGTGTTAAGTATTGCATAACAACATTTTCCACAGTTTGAGAATGCCAGTTGTATACTTTGAGAGGTAATTGTGGAAGCTTGGAAAGACCCCCGACCACAAACTTGACTTCGCTGACTTGACATAAAATATATATTTGCTTAATCCGATCTTCACGAATAATAATGGTTTGTGATTTTAATTTGTTAACAAACACTAGTTCACCGCCTCCACTTAACTTTGCACTGGTTCTCAGGGATCTATCACAACTGTACCATCACATTTAAATTCAAAATCAGTTATATAGTCATTCAAATTAGTCTCCATTAAAATACTAGGATACTAGTTTTTGTAGTTTAACTTCACAAACTGTAGGAATAACACTGCGGTATGTAATGCATAGATTTTCATCGTTAGCAGATTTTTTTTCCTCTAGTTCCCTTTTAGCTGCCTTGTAAGCATCTTATTCGATTTTAGTTTGATCCTTAGAGATTCTGTAAACAGTATTTCCAAGCTTATCACTAGACTTAAGTGCCAATTTCACCTTGTTAGCTCTATCTATACGTTGTTGTACTTCATAAAAACCTGAATTGTCTGTTGTTTGTGAATTGCTATTTTTTATTAATATAATCTTTTTTTAAGACTGTTGATTTCTTCTTCCAGAAGAAAATCTGGCAAATCTACGCACAAACATCACTCTTACACACTCTCACACTCTTAAAGGCATCACGACAGGTAGCACAAAAGTACATAATAAATAGACGTTTTTGCAAAATAGTTGTCCGTATCTTGGATGTGGATAAGCCGAAGTATTTTTTTGCAATGTGTATCCTTGAACGCAACTGCCCATGCTATTATTTCCTTTTCATCAGGACCAAGATCTTGGGAACAAACGCTACTATTATTGGTCATTATAACCTCATATTTCAGCAATCCTCGGCTTTTGCTGTCTAGTATTTATGAAATATAAAAAGAAATATCCGAATTAACTAGAACGTACAATATTATTTTTAATGTTTTAAAAACTAAAAAGTTTAAAAAAATAAAGCGACAAAATTTTATTTGTTTTGATAACCTAACCTAATGTACAATATTCTACCTAACCTAATAACCTAATATACAGTATATTATTATTTCGTTGGTGTTACCAAAAATATAGTACATCATACATTTATATCATTTATAACATTTTGACTTACCGGTTCTGGGCACGTAGAGGTTGAGGTAAAGGCAGTCTTCACTTTGATTAGCTAAGAGTGGTAAAACTTTTTCTAAGTAGAGTAAACGATTCTTTGGATATTCCAATAGTGCCTCAGATCGATTCCCAATATCGGGAAGACGTTGCGGACATACAGCGCTAAATCGATCTGCTAATCGGGTGGACTTCCACATAGATGGGGTAACAGGTGGCATGTACCTAAAAGAAAAAAACATAATATAAGTAAATCAATCAAAGGACTATAAGAAAACCCGATAAACGCATGATTTTTAAAAAAGTGTTAAAAAAGTTCCTCTCTGAGATTGCAAACAAATTATAGCAGCGATAACACCCTTCCTGCATCAGATGTCCCCACCCTAGCTCTCATCACAATCCGTCCCCACAAACGATTCATTTACTGTGGACCTGAGGGAGTAATTAGTAAAGATAATTACCACTAGACAACTGAACCACTTCAAAGAACTCTCGAATTTCTATTACACGCAAGAGTTATATTTTATTTTCCTATTTTGTTTTTGATTAACAATTTCTTTTTTGTATTTTGCGAAATACATTTTTTTGTGTTTTGTAAAATACACTTTTTAAATTATTTAGTTTGTTTCCATTTGGTAGAATTATTTTATAGATGAAATATAGATTATAATCTAATAACCTCTAAAATTGCTAGAACCAGCGAAATTGTTGGTTTTATACTATACTTTAACTTGCTAAGTTGACTAGAGCTTATATGCGATGATATATGAGAACAAAAAGGAGCACTATAGATTCCAAATTCAATATGTAGTTAGTCCCTAAAAAAAACAGTAAGCAGCATATGTCAAATGCAGAAAAACTGTGAACAGTTCCGAGTCACCAAAGAAGTTGCACTAATAAAGGAGTAACAAATACAACAATACAACAGTTCAATAATCGTGGTCCCAACTGAAACATAAAGAATTATTTAATGGTATTACCACTTCTTTCAAAAGATTGCTTAAAAACTTGGGTTTGAGTGGATGAAGGATAATGTACGACGAGGACTTATGCAATTACCTAACGTTGTTTGTAAAAGAGTACAATTCTTGAGAACTTATAAAGACGTGAAGGATGAAAGTATATACCAATTCGTGTTTCTCGATGAAACTTGGATATTTAAATAATATCATTGCAGATATATTATATTCCATGCTGAAAATGAAACCGGATTTATAGAGGGTGCTAAAACAATATTTTTTTTCAAAAACTCAACTTAGTGATTATCATGGGGAAATGAACCAGGCAAATTTCTTGAAATGGTTTGAATATCAGCTGCTGCAAAACTTAAAGAATCCTTCCCTAATTGTACTTGATAATGCACCTTATCACAGTATGTTATTGCATAAAACTCCGAATGCAGGATGGTCAAAAAGTGCTATTGAGCAGTGGTTGACAGAAAAAAACATTATTCCCATATTATAATGTTCAAAACCGAACTGTTACGTTCTCAGTAAATACACAGATATAATCTTATATATAAATATCATTTATTTTAAACATTTTTTTAGAAATAAACCACAAACCAAGTATATAGTGGATGATATGGCAGAACGATATGGACACAAAGTTTTACGTCTTCCTCCTTAGGCCCGGCGCAAATTGAGCACAGCCCACGCACATCCCACGCGCAGCCCACGTGTGGGTTATTTTGTAAAACGTGGTTTTAGACGGAGCGACGCATACTAAACCCAAACCACGGCCAGGCTACTGCCAGGCTTGGTTGGCGTGGATAGAGTTGTGCTAGCAACACAGTTTCGTGGATCGTGGGTCTCTACCTAACCTTAGTTATTTTGTTTTGTGTGACCAATTTTTTGTTATTCAGTGAAAATGGAAAAGTTTATTGAAATTGTTCGAAGCTTTAGTGTCTTGTATGATACTAGTAATGAAGATTACATGAGAACAAAACTAATATTTTCTTTATTTGTGCTAAGCGACTCGGATGTAAGTCGCCGTTATATTATTCAAAAAATAATAATTTAAATAAATTTTTTATTAAATCAAATGAGAAATATAACAAATCGAGAACTAAGGAAAAAAAAACAAATTTTTATTTCCTAGCAAAATGTTTATGAACACCTAAGATGAAAACTTCAAAATAAAATTTGATGGTACTTTTTGGTGACGCTCATATTATTATGGCTTTTATACACTGAAATTAAATTAAAAAAGAACATGAAGAAAGTAGAAAGTAATAAAAAATTCTCAAAGTTAAATTTATCTCGAAAACAAAATACGATCTGGAATTTTTGTATTTTTTTAGCTCTTCTGTTGTTTATTACGTTATTTCACTTATTTCAACAATACCTACTCTGTCACAGTATAAAGAGGAACCTCTTATACTGTGACTCTGTACAGTATTTTGTTAGAGTAATTAGTAATTAGAAAGTCAATATCGGCAAACCAGCTTATTCAAATTATGGGTATCTACCTGTTTTAGTCTTTTGTTGAAGGATTTCAATTTATTACCCTTATCATATGTAAAAGTTCTCAAGAAATTAATATCAGGTTCAGTTTTCAATGAAACAAAAATCTAATCTTTAACAGAATTGTTAAAACTGCTTATTATGCTAATTAGTAATAAGAAAGTCAAATCGGCAAAAGCAGCTTGTTCAAATTATATCTATAGTCTTTTGTTGAAGGATTTCAATTTTTTACCCTTAGCATTTGTGAAAGTTTTCGAGATATTTATATTTTCAGATTAGAAATTGTTAGTGGGATATTAGGTAAAAATTAAAAGGTCTAGAAAATAAAATCTTTATTTAAACTAATATACTGAAGACAGTCTATCTTTTCGTTGAATGGTATTTTCAAAAACAATCTCCTATGCATAGTCCAGGTTTTTCGTCACAATCAACACACTCGGAAATTGTGTTTTTCCTAATTTTATGGATAGAACATATTCTACACAAATATTTGACATGGGCGTGGACTGTGTTCAATATGCGTTAGTATTGAAAAACGTGTACTTGGACTAGGTTGGACCATACGTGGGCTGCGCGTGGGATGTGCGTGGGCTGTGCTCAATTTGCGCCGGGCCTTACCATTGTATCTCTAACCCTATTAAACTGCCTAAACATGTGTCATGAGGCACTTTACATGATTACTCCTGATATGTGAAAAAACTCTGTCAATCATACTAAAAGAGAAATATTTTAATGGTATGAGAGAGAAATAATATTTGATTGTCAAGAAATTAGTCCAATGGTAATAATTGTTAGTAGTGGAGAGAGTGAAACTAATGTGGAATCAGATTAAGAAAATGTTTAGTTCGTTGATGTTGTTTTTTTTAATGTCATGTTTTGTCTTTGAAAATACGTTCATTATTAAAGAATATTTGATTTTATTGCTTGTGGTTTTATTTTGATTATATTTATTGTTTGTTAACTCAATAATAACCTTTCCACTCTTATTGTGGAATTCCTTACTTTCTGAAATCTATTCATAAGTGTAATTAACAAAAAACAAATGAACATAAACACTTATTTTCAAATTCCATTTAATACAGTGTGAAATTTGCTACCTTCGCCTTTTTGTTTACTTCAGTTCTTTTCTGTTAATTTTCATAGTCCATGAACCATCTGACAACGCTGCAAATGTTCACAATGATGACGTGAACGCAACTTTATTTGGATTTCACTGTAGATGAATTTGCGGTGGGCTAACTTGTAGATCTGTGAATTATTTTGGACTTTCCTAGTTTCAATAAAAAACAACTTATGTTTTTACTACACTACACACACTTACTACAACGTCACTAAAAAGCTAAGAAAAACTTACGATTAAAATACTTTCAATACAATATAAGGTTGAATGTTCGAATAATTAAACTTTGAGGGTATACAAGGCAACTATCGAACACGGTGATTAATTTAATCTTGCCCAAGTACTTTCGATCAATAGATCATCTTCAGAGGCATCTGAAATAAGCCAAGAAATATTTTTTTATAAAAAGGAAAATTAATTCACTTGGATAAAAAACTCCAAGTTTATGATTGAAAAAAATTTTATATGTGATAAACGTTTATAGACTTACTTCGTCAGTTGTGACCTATCCGACATAGAAGAATGTCATAAATGTAAAATTTGGACATAACAATACAAAATACAATACACTAAGACAAACAAATACTTTAAAATTTTTAAGGAGAAGCTACATGTTGTATAGAAGCCGGAGACAGAATGGGCTCCCGGTCTGACGGAAATATAAAGATAACATGTAACAAATGACAGCTTGTGAACTGCAGTTATATGATCTGCACCTTTCAAAATTCTATGACACTAAGTCAGTTAGACCTTTAGTCAATACTTAGTGTCATAGAATTTTGAAAGGTGCAGATCACATAACTGCCCTTCAAAAGCTGTCATTTGTCACATGTCATCTCTATATTTCCGTCAGACCGGGAGCCCATTCTGTCTCCGGCTTCTATACAACATGTAGTTTCTCCTTAAAAATTTTAAAGTGTTTGTTTGTGTTAGTGTATTGTATTTTGTATTGTTATGTCCAAATTTTACATTTATGACATTCTACTATGTCGGATAGGCCACAACTGACGAAGTAAGTCTATAAACGTTTATCACATATAAAATTTTTTTTAACCATAAACTTGGAGTTTTTTATCCAAGTGAATTAATTTTCCTTTTTATAAAAAAACGTTTCTTGGCTTATTTCAGATGCCCCTGAAGATGATCTATTGATCGAAAGTACTTGGGCAAGATTAAATTAATCACCGTGTTCGATAGTTGCCTTGTATACCCTCAAAGTTTAAAATACTTTTGTACTCTTCCGGGTCAATAAAGTGAAATTATATATATATATATATATACACACATTTGTTTGTTCTTTTTTATTCATTAATAAATACACCAAACAAAGCTAATAAATAATATTCTCAATACTTAATAAAACCGGTAGAACCGTTTCAGGGATTATTTATATCGGCTGATTCTTCGCTTAGCTACGTAACAAAAAACCCGAATGGAAATAAAATATTCTTTATTGAGCCAATATCCAAGAAAACCCTATTGTCGCGTTACTTCGGAAGCGTATTAATAAAGCGTCGGAAAGATAGACATAGAGATAGCAAGCAAAACTAGAAAAGCAAATAATATTCTCTAGTACGTATGTACGCTTTGAGCAAAACCAAATTCAGTAAACGAGAAATGATAATGAAACACACTACTGG